GTGGACGCTCGTGACATGCGGAAACCGCCCGCGTGCGAGACTGGCGCGGTGGACGCTCCTGACGTGCGGAAACTTAGCCGGCTGGCTAATGTTAACCAGGTTATAAACGTTCAGTATCTCGGCTAAGTTGGGTTATAAGGCTGCCAAACTCCTTGGCAAACGAGATAAGTTGGTCAAACCTATATAAGGTTTATAAGTCGTTTCTGAGGTTTACCAGAATCTATCTAAGGATTATAGGAGATATGACACGCTTTATAACCCCCGTTGTAAACCCTAAGCCAAACACTTAGCAAACATGGTCGCAACCCTTATAAGGTTTAGCGGGGTTAGCTTTTGGGATCTGTTTTCGGGGCTAACACCCTTAGCAGACTTAGCCTCTTTCGAGCACAGTCATGCAGCATGCAAAAGGGAAGCCGAATCATTTACCTTTCGGCTTTTTTCGCCCCTGCGCATGCCGCCACGGGCGTGGGCCCGCGCGGCACCCGCGCAAGCCGCAGCCGAGTATGATGCATGAGCCGCCTTGCGGACGCAAGTGCACAGATTTGATATAAGATTCAGATTTCACAGATTTTTTCAGAATCTGAATTTTGCAGATTTTTTCAGATTCAGATTTTTCAGATTCTTAAGAATCTGAATTTTTCAGATTTTCAGATTCATATTCTTCAGATTTTTTCAGATTCTGAAAATCTGAATCTTCATCACTATCTTTACGTAAATATTCAGATTCCGATTTTTCAGATTTTATCAGAATCTGAAATTCCGGTTTTTTCAGATTCAGATTTTCAGATTTTTTCAGATTCTGAAAATCTGAGTTTTCATCACTTTCTTTACTTAAATATTCAGATTCCGATTTTTCAGATTTTATCAGAATCTGAATTTTTCAGATTTTTTCAGAGTCAGATTTTTCAGATTTTTTCGGGTTCTGAAAATCTGAATCTTCATCACTTTCTTTACTTAAATATTCAGATTTAGATTTCTCAGAATTTTTCAGAATCTGAAAAAATCTGAAAAATCTGAATCTGAAAAAATCTGCAAAATTCAGATTCTGAAAAAATCCAAAAACCGAATCTGATATCAAATCTGAAAAATCAGATTCTGAAAAAAACCTGAAAGTATGAATCTAACAAACAATGTTAAAACAAATGGGCGCTCTGATCCGAGCTGTGGAACCGCTCAAGAGAAAGGAGAAAAAAGATGAGCTGCGTCTCTGGGGCCGCGCGGACTGCCCGCTGCGTCTTTGCTTGATGTCTCGCTTGCGGTAGGAAAGCGCATATTGTTGCACCAACTGCACACAGGTGCTGGAATTTTACAGGAAAAACCTTAACAGGTTTAGCTGGTTTAGCTAAACTTTAGCTAAACCCTTGCCTACACCACCTCCCAAACCACATTTTGTAACCCTTATAAACCCGCTGCTAACTCCTATAGCGATTTATAAGGGATATCTAATCCCCAACCGGCTAAGAACCGCCCGCGAGCGAGGCTGGCGCGGTGGACGCTCGTGACATGAGACTGGCGCGGTGGGCGCTCGTGACATGCGGAAACTGTTCGCGAGCGAGACTGGCGCGGTGGACGCTCGTGACATGCGGAAACCGCCCGCGAGCGAGACTGGCGCGGTGGAGGCTCGTGACATGCAAAAACCGCCCGCGAGCGAGACTGGCGCGGCGGACGCTCGTGACATGCGGAAACCGCCCGCGAGCGAGACTGGCGCGGTGGACGCTCGTGACATTCGGAAACCGCCCGCGAGCGAGACTGGCGCGGTGGACGCTCGTGACATTCGGAAACCGCCCGCGAGCGAGACTGGCGCGGTGGACGCTCGTGACATTCGGAAACCGCCCGCGTGCGAGACTGGCTTGGTGGACGCTCCTGACATGCGGAAACCGCCCGCGAGCGAGACTGGCGCGGTGGACGCTCGTGACAGGCGGAAACCGCCCGCGTGCGAGACTGGCTTGGTGGACGCTCCTGACATGCGGAATCCGCCCGTGAGCGAGACTGGCGCGGCGGACGCTCGTGACATGCGGAAACCGCCCGCGAGCGAGACTGGCGCGGTGGACGCTCGTGACATGCGGAAACCGCCCGCGAGCGAGACTGGCGCGGTGGACGCTCGTGACATGCGGAAACCGCTCGCGAGCGAGACTGGCGCGGTGGACGCTCGTGACATGCGGAAACCGCCCGCGAGCGAGACTGGCGCGGTGGACGCTCGTGACATGCGGAAACCGCTCGCGAGCGAGACTGGCGCGGTGGACGCTCATGACATGCGGCAACCGCCACGTGCGCGGCTCCATGTGAACAGCCCGGCGCTCCAGGTACGCCATAATGTTAGCACTTGATTAACACAGGGCCGCCCCCCGAACAATGGAAGCGCCAAAACAATGGGGGTGCACGTTTGGGACGTCCAAACAATGGAGGATTTTGGGGCCCAATTCTATTTTAGTATTGCAGCCACTTCCTTTTTGCAATTCTACTTTAGTATTGCAGCCACTTCCTTTTTGCAATTCTACTTTAGTATTGCAGCCACTTTCTTTTTGCAATTCTACTTTAGTATTGCAACCACTTCTTCCTGAGCAGACTTTTTGGAAGAGTACTTTAGTATTGCAACCACTTCTTCCTGAGCAGACTTTTTGGAATACTACTTTAGTCTTGCAACCACTTCCCTTCAGTTCTTTCTGTAGCCATTCAAAGGGCCACCAAGAGAAAGGGGATGCTTTTAAGCAGTGGGCCACCAATTGAAAGGGGAATGCTTTTGAGTAAAGCAACTGATAGCTTATTTCTGGGAGGGGGGGCTGGGGGCTTGCAACTATTGTGGTCCCCTGAAACAATGACATTATTGTGGTTCAGTGGGGTTTGTGAGGGGTACGTCCTGATTGTTTTTTTGCATTTTTTAAACACGGTTTAATAAAGAGTTTGCAGTTTCAGGGCTGGGGATGGTTTTCAATTTCAGAGGTTTCAGCTGGCTTTGGGTTCTGTGGTTGAGCAACCAAGTGAAAGGGGAATGCTTTGAAGCAAGTGGGCCACCAATTGAAAGGGGATGCTTTTAAGCAAGTGGGCCACCAAATGAAACGGGATGCTTTTAAGCAAGTGGGCCACCAATTGAAAGGGGATGCTTTTAAGCGGAATTGATTTGTGGAGATGTTTTTTGGAGTTTTCCCCCCGGGCAAAACAACTTTCAATTATTCTGGTCCCCCTAAACAATGGGTGCGAACCAGAATAAGGAAAAAACTTGCCAGTATTGAAGCCCGGTTGATTAATCAAGTGTTAACATTAATGGTCCTTTTTGCCGCACACCTGACCCGAACAAATGGTGCCAATAGTGTGTTTCTAGGACGAACCCTCTCTTCACAAGCTGTAGCCTCTTGGGGTTCGCCCTACTTATTTGGAAGCAGCCTGGAAGCACGTTGACATGAATATGCTGAGCACACTCGGCCCAAACAAAAGGGCGCATGAACATCCGAACAGCTGACCCCGGTCTACGCAGATCGTGGTAACACTGTGTCTCAGAGACAGGCGTCTTGACCGAGGTTTCGGACAGGCGTCAGACCCACCAAGTGACCGAGGCTTGTCCACACCGAGCCCCCCGCAAAAGCGCAGCGCCGGCCCCGTCTCCACACACCTGCGGCGAATCCACCCAACTTGCCATCCACACGCATCCAATTGACAACGTGCGCGGCCCTTTCCACAAAGTCACCAGTTGCAATTGGTTGCGAATGGGAAAATAGGTGGAGAAACTAACGAATCCAAGCAAGCTTACGAAGCAAGTTTGTGAAGGCCACGTGCACGGCTCCATGTGAACAGCCCGGCGTTCCAGGTGCGCCAAAATTGTCATTTTTGCCGCACACCTGACCCGAACAAATGGTGCCAATGTGTTTCTAGGACGAACCCTCTCTTCAGAAGCTGTATCCTCTTGGGGTTCGCCCTACTTATTTGGAAGCAGCCTGGAAGCACGTTGACATGAATATGCTGAGCACACTCGGCCCAAACAAAAGGGCGCATGAACATCCGAACAGCTGACCCCGGTCTACGCAGATCGTGGTAACACTGTGTCTCAGACTTGTTTCAGATCAGACAGGCGTCAGGCCCACCAAGTGACCGAGGCTTGTCCACACCGAGGCAAAAGCGCCGTCTCCACACACCTGCGGCGAATCCACCCAACTTGCCATCCACACGCATCCAATTGACAACGTGCGCGGCCGTTTCCACAAAGTCACCAGTTGCAATTGGTTGCGAATGGGAAAATAGGTGGAGAAACTAACGAATCCAAGCAAGCTTACGAAGCAAGTTTGTGAAGGCCACGTGCACGGCTCCATGTGAACAGCCCGGCGTTCCAGGTGCGCCAAGATTGTCCTTTTTGCCGCACACCTGACCCGAACAAATGGCGCCAATGTGTTTCTAGGACGAACCCTCTCTTCAGAAGCTGTAGCCTCTTGGGGTTCGCCCTACTTATTTGGAAGCAGCCTGGAAGCACGTTGACATGAATATGCTGAGCACACTCGGCCCAAACAAAAGGGCGCATGAACATCCGAACAGCTGACCCCGGTCTACTCAGATCGTGTTGTAACACTGTGTCTCAGTGTGGTAGTTTGTGCGGATCCATTTTCGGATTTCTGCGATTGGTTCTTCGTGATGAATCGGATGACTTCGTGCCTTCCATGTAGTGCGGGGCCTGTCATGTTTCACCCGTGCCTTTGCCTTTTTCTCTCAGGCTGCTGGCTGCCAATCCGGCTTGAGTCGCGGTTGCTCCCCTTCTTCATCTGTTTTGGGGTTGGTTTCCCAACTGTGAACAACTTAAATCTTGGTTTGCCTTCGGACCCTTGAGCCGGAAAACAACGGGATACACATGCCATGGGGAGCGGGGCTGGTTTGCTTTTGGGTTCCCGGGCTCCTCTTGTTTGGCTTATCATTGTTTATTGGGAAGCTAAAAGGAAACATCGTATCCATCTTGCAGGGTCCCAGCCTCTTTTTCGACAATCCTAGACTTTTTGTCATCTTATCGACCCCATGCCGAGGATGTACCGCGTCATCGACTTTGGGCGCGCGAAGAAGGACATGTGGGCGCCCAAGTGCAACGGGAGGAGCAATACCAGGCGTTCTGATATGGCCATGGTTCAAAAACATTGGGATTCTATTTTTGGGATAGGTGCACCACCCACCCATTTTAGTCTATGGTGTACCTTTTTAAGGTGGGATATCCCTTGGCAGCTACTCGTAGGTGTAGGTATGTTTAGTCAATCAGATAGCTCTTCGGCGGGTTGGATTGGTGGTTTGGGGATTTGAACCCCTTCTTGTTGTCGGTAACATGAGACCCTGGAACGGAACGCCTCCAAACCAAGAAAACGGGGGAAACTGATTTGTATACAGATATGTCCCTTTGAAGGGTGGTTTTAAAGCATCGAACCCTTTCAGGTGGGTGATCCCTTGGCAGGGCTGATGATTTAGGGGGACTCGCACCACTTGGCAGGTGGGTAGTTATTCCAGCATTCAAAATTCAGGGCCTATCCATCTTCAGGATTTTGTCCACATGAGGGCTTGGCGAATTAGCGTCACCAAGTACTGTCAGAGCCGTACAGTACACACTTTTGTCTCATCATGACTGAACTCGGTGTTAAAGCAACTCGCAACCCGAATCGAATGATTTGGGCTCGTCCCTTCGGGCAGTCACGGGGCAATGTGAGCGCTTCCCGTTTTTTGCCACCGAGGGACGCCACTTCTCTTGAGTGGCGGAAGCTGGCCTTCTCATTTAGCAGATGAGGACATACGATCTTGTCAGGGATCTGCTAGTCGCACTGGTGTTTGCTGGCTCGATCTATGAGCATTGCTCACGGACGTACGGTCCATCAAAATTCACGCAGGTTTGCCACTTTCTGGAGCGCCAGCCCATGAACCCGACGAACGTCGCCGGTAAGGCATGAGGACATTTTGAAATGTCGCTTGTTTTTGCGCGGCAATTGAAAACGCAACTAGGTCCCCCCATAGTGCCCTTTTACCTTTTGTTGGGGAGGGTTCTACTAAAATAGACTACAGAAAGAAGGGTACCCTTATTCTAACCTCTCTACTGGAGGACCTAGGGCTGAGTGGCAGTACCCCAGCGGTTGGTTCCCTGAAAGTTGGCAGGATTCCCCCCGTGTTTGGGTCAGGCTCTCCACTGTCAAAACGAGCCCTCAAGGGTCTATTGGGGTGGTTTTAAGAGAGTCGGACCTTCCCTAGAAATTTGGGGGGCCATAAGCGTCCAGGTTGGAATTTTTCGCAAGAGGTTCCGCATCAAACCAGCTGTTCAGCATCCTTCATCCTGGACTTATGACCCACTAGAAATTTAATTTTGGCCCAAAAAACTTTTAAGCAAACGACCCCATTGCCTAAGGGTCAGGACACTTTGTTTCGGCGAACCCCAGAGATGGTTTTCTGGGACTCAAGCTGAGGTTCGGCACGATCAAGAGCGTGGAGTACGACCCCTACCGCAACGCCCGCATTTGCCTTGTGGAGTACGAGGCACGGGCGGACGGGTGGACGGCGAGGCTTGCGTAAGCATTTGGCTATAGGCTATGGGTCAAAACTGTTTTGGTGCACCGCCCATTTTAGAACCTATTTGAGTGGGGATTGGGATGTTCACTGGGGGTACGGGATTTTGACCCATGGCCATTTGTCGCTCGGAGATAAGCGTGCTGAGGGGCCCAACATGTTGTGTTGCCCCAAAAAGACACCACCATATCCTGGACACGTTCCCAGACCCCTAGCCTATTTTAACACATGGCGCAACACGACAGATGGGACTATGACAAGCGCACACACACACACACATAGCTAAAGCGACCACAGCGACACAATCAAGCCCGGGTTTCTGAGAGTTTTCTGAGGGTAGGGACAATTCCCTTGCAAAAAAAGTGCAGATATCCGACTTGCTATTTCAGGGTTCTGGAGATCGACCATGTTAACAATGTTGTCCCCATAATAATCAACTGACCCCTTTGTATTAATAGGGCCGTGTTCCCCTCCATAAGTGGTCTGATTTCCCACTGAACCCAGGGACGACCCTAAATTGAGTTTAGAAACAAATGTACAAGATCTAAGTGTATTAAAGTTAGTTTGAACAGGTGAAAAAGAGTTGTATTAATAAACAGGGGTTGATTAACATGCGGTCAAATTTACTGGGTTGTGATTGTGACTCAGATCTGTTAGGATGGCGAGAAGCGCTACATCCTCCACGCCGTGGGCTACTTCGTGGGACAGGAGGCGTCGAGTTCGAAGAACGACCCCAGTTTGGGTCCCTTAGGTGAAAGACAGCAAGAGGGTTGCTAGAGATACATCACCGGATTTCACTTCCAGTTGAATTTGCTGATGATTTGTTTTGTTTTGAGAAAACCGATCACTACTGGACACACTACTCACTTCCCGAGTGGCTGGACTTTAAACGTTTTGGGACGGCCATGTTCGCGGCAAACAAGCTTGGTTTGTTGCCATCCGCTCAGGAAGTGAGAAAAAGAGGGTTGCCATGTTTTATGGGCTGCGTCTAAACTTGCTTGGAAGTCAGGTTGGCGCGGTTGGTCGGCAAGTGACAATCTGATTGGTGGTCGATTATTTATTGATCTAGTCATTTCTGTTTCATTGTGTTTTTGTTTGTTAATTTTGCCCGGGGGGGGGGGGGGGTGGGGCGGGGGTAGGGCGGGGGTGCAGAGAACACAACACGTTGTCCGACCAAACACATTGGCGATGCTCACGGAAGTCGCCTGTCGGAAAGGCCGTTCCGTGTGTCGTAAAAACGAACGTCGAGCGAGTTGTTTTTTTTAATTATTTGATTATTATTTTTTACGGCGGGCGTCTCTTTGATTCTTTTTTTGGGGGGCGGGGGGGGGGGGGTTGAAGGGGGAAAAAACGGGGGGGGTTGACCTACCAAAGGGCAGGCCCCAGTTAGATAAAATCCCCTCAACCGACCAATTCACATAATATTTTTTCATCATTTCATAACAGAACCTCAACTCAAGATTTGATACATAAATTTTACAAATATTTTTCTAAATTTTCAAAAATATATTTTTCCAAAATCCCAAATTCCCAAAAATATTTTTCCAAAATCCCAAAATATAAAATCCCCTCAACCGACCAATTCACATAATATTTTTTCATCATTTCATAACAGAACCTCAACTCAAGATTTGATACATAAATTTTGTAAATATTTTTCTAAATTCCCAAAATATATTTTTCCAAAATCCCAAATTCCCAAATCCCAAAATCCCAAATTCCCAAAATATATTTTTCCAAAATCCCAAATCCCAAAATATAAAATCCCCATAATTTTCAAACATAAATCTTACAATGTTTTTTATTGTAAGGTTTATGGTGTAATTTATAATTTAAGTTCAGGATAATAATTTAATTGACAAATCTCACTTATGTCATACATCATTTTAAAAATAATATTAATATCTCTCACTGTATTTTTAACATTAAACTTTTTATAAATTTCAATATAATATTTGATATATTCTTTAATATCATCTCCTTTCTTTTGACTATGACACAACATCCTTAATATATCATGAATCATTTCATATTTTTTCTTACTGATTTTAAGAAACTGTTTAACATAAACGTAAGGTGGTAATTTATACACAGTTAAAAATATCAAAATGTCATCTTCTACATTTCTATTATGTCTTCCTTTTAATCTCAACAAACATTTGATTATAGCTTGGTTATCTCTCCAGGTTTTACAAGTTCTACATAAATCTTCTTCACCCAAAGCATAATCAATAATATTATTTATTATTCCATTAGGTAAATTTAATTTATACAATTCCATATTTTCCTTTTTAAAGTGGCAACAGTCGTAGCATTTCTTATTAATATACTTATTGATTTCAATACCGTTCATTTCTTCACTATTAATATAAGGTGTTTTTTCTTTAGGACTATTTCGCCTAAAACTAAATTATTAATTTAATTCTTTCTATTATTTTGTCACATGTTGTTTCATTATAAAAATTATTTTTTATTTGTTTTCTAAACATTCCCATTATTCCAATCGCACGTTTTATTGTATATCTAAGTTCGTGAGTTTTATACTCATATTTAAAAACTCATTTAAAAAATCAAACAATACAACATATTTTAAACGTTTAATATTAAAAGACATATTGTATAATTGTTTTACAATACTATAATACTTAAAAATAAAATCATTATTATATCCTTCGTCGTTACATTCTAATAAATTATCAAATCCTTCTATAGTTAAGAAATTATTCATTTCAATAAATACAAATATTTCTAAATCATCATCAATAGTTTCATTATTTATAATATCAATATCCTTGTTATTCATATCATCAATTGCTTTTATAATTCTATTGCAATTATTGCATATTATATATTGACAAATATTATTACAAACACCATTTGCAAAACCCCGTTCAATTGGTAATTTGAGCATTTCACAGTCATCACATTTATAACTCATAAATTTGTCTTTCAATATATTTTTAGCATTGATACCGACTGTATCACTCATTTTACTATAATATATTAAGTTATTATTTCTTCAAGTCATTTTGAAATCATAAATCTTACAATGTTTTTTATTGTAAGGTTTATGGATTAAAATAATGGTCAGGCAATATGTCTTCAAATATGTAATCTACATATTTATCTATATCACCAATGTATATATATTTGATATTGTTTTTTCCTATTATTGAATAAATATATTCCCAAAAGAATAAATACAACAATAGACATACTTTATATTTAGTGTTGTAGTAATACCATATACTATATTTAGTTGCTCTAAATTCGTTCAAGACTTCGTTTATTTTATCTTTGTCTAATAAATGCCAGTCAATCCATTCAAACAAATAACGGTATTTTTTGACAAATGCTTTGTATGGTTTAATTGCGTTTATTCCTCCAAACCTCCTAATTAAATCTATATTACTAAAGAATTCATCAATTTCATTTTCATATGACTTTCTGGAAATCTTCTGGTAAAAGTGTATAGGAAATCTTGCTTGGTGTCGCATAAAGAATTTTAACTGTAATTGAAACTTTGTATATCCCTTGTCCTTATGTTCTTCAAGAAAAAACTTTTCAAGGTCTCTTGTTATACAGCATTGATTGCAGTATACATTATATTCACTTATTTTATTACATAGATTAGCAGGTAATAACTTATACAATGTTATATTAACATCATTCCTTTTAGTTGTACAACATTCGCAATTTGAATAATTAAATAACATTTCACTAATAATATAAGGCGTTTTTTCTTTAACTGTATTTCGTTTAATATTAAACTTTCAATAATTCGTGTCTCAAATAAGGACTAGTTTTTCCTTCCAAATGAAAGTAAGATTGCCCTAATTTACTATCAATTGATTTTACTTTAAATACTTCTTTTAACCAATGACTGGTATGTGCCTTTTCGCTTATGCCTTTCTTTCTCATTATTTTTACATTACTACCCACTGACAACTCAGGGTATTTTCTAGTATTTCTTGCTTGCATTGTAATATTCATTTTTACTTCAAATTCATTCTTTTTCATTCTTGCGTCCTTCGGTGTAAATTTAGTTGCGGAATGAATATTCTTATTATTGTAAGTTAATAATATTTCAAAAATATAATCCGTCCATTGGATATTCTGCTTTCCATTTTTCTTGTCCGCTTCAACTCGTTTAAACAGTTGATCTTTAAAAGTCTGAATTCCACGCTCCGCAAATGCTGGATGACCTCTAGTTCTATGTAATTCAATTTTCTCCTCCTTCAAATAATCTAATACTGATTGATTAAAAAAACTGCCTTCCTCGTCGGTATAAATTAATTTCGGTTTGCCACCCATCTTATTGATATTCTCCATCATTCCTGCTAAAATGTCTGGCGGTTGCTTTGACTTGATAGGCACGATATGCATATATTTGCTAAATATATCAATGCATATCATACCAATTTTAAATGTTTGATTTTCCAAATCATTTTTAGAAATGAAAAACATATCAACTTGAAATTCCCAGAAACTATGCGGGGCAATAAAGCTATTTTCACCTCTCATCTTTCTTTTTTCTTCTACATTCTTACTAAAGAATTCATTAATATCGTTTATTGTAATACTACTATCTTTTTGCTTAGCATCCTTGAGGGTTGTTTGTTTTGAACCATAACCGCTTCTATCATAATATACACTCTTAATAATTTCTTGTGTTGAACTCATTAATTAAGTTAATAAAATAATTTTGAAAAACTCATTTTCAAAATTATTCATGACGCGCTGCAATTGCAATAGACACAAAAGGCGGTGCAGTTTTCAACTGTGTGGCATAACTCATTATCACAACGTTGAGCAGTGAAGTTAGAACTTATCTTTCCTCCTCTTGTATCTAGATTAAATTTAATTCCGCAGTTTTGGCAACAGGATTTGAAGTATTTTAAGCACCAGTTTTCGTCAATGTATTGCTCTTCGTCTATTTCTCTTTTTGCTACTCTATCTTGCTGTTTATATCCTTCAACTTTGTTTTTAAAATAGTTGATTACCAAACTCTTAAACATATCTTCATCTCCCTCTTTGTTCTTGTAAAAATAGACATTGTTAAAATCCCTCGCTCGTGTGATACTCGTCCACAACCATTCCCTACAAACTAAATAATCTTTGTTCCATTCGTGAATGGTCATATTATCACTGATTGATGTCCCCTGTCTGCTATGAGTGGTAGCACAGTAGGCATATCTAAAATGCTTATCTATAATATCAATGTCAAGTGTTCTAATGTTCTCTGCATCCTTAATATCTTGTATTGTTATCTTGTATCCTTCGTTATTAACAACCTTCCACCTAATATTAACATTCAGTTTTCCTTCCTTGTCCTTTTTGTAAAGTCTGCATATTAAGATTTCTCCAATTTCATATTTGCATGTTTTACCTAATCTTTTTCTAATCTCATTGGATACTGCCTCACATCTAATATTTGTATATGCTATGTTGTTTTCACTATTCATAACATCTTTAGTAAATTTGAAATGCTTAATTATCCAGTCTTCAACTGCCATCTTTTTTACCCAAAAGTCATCATAGATTTCATTCAGTTTCTTTCTGTTTCTTTCTCCTTCTTCTGTATCCTTACCACCTACTCGCTTACATATCTTTAAAAATATATTATATTTAAAAATAATGTCAATACATTTGTCAATGTATTCGCCTGCATTTTGAGTATTAGTGAAAGGTTCAATCGGTGGCAGTTGCTT